TTATATTTAATATCTATATAACAATAATAATTTTTAAAAATAAAAATAATAAAATACAGGAAATATAAATAAAAGTTAAATAAGGTCCTTAAATCAAACAAATCACACATGCAATAATAACAACTCATATAAATAATAAATTTTAAACTAAATACATAACATACATAATAATGACATTTTATATTAGAGTTTTTTTTTTTTTTAATTAAGTACATAAATATATACCCACAAGCTACTTAACACAAAGTAGGTTAAGTACTAGTTATAAAATTTTGAATATTTAGGTCAATACCAAGTCTAAAAAATTATATTTAAAAATTTTCAAATTAAGTACCAAATATACCTCATATCCAATCTATATCCGAAAATATTCACCATAATCATGTACGTCTTTATGTCACGCATGTACCTACATGTCTAGAAGAATTTAAACTTGAAACTTTCAACCATTTGAGTGAGCAATGTCCTTTAGCTGCAATATGAATGCAAAAATAATACATCACTTGGTAACACAGAATTTTAATATTGTCAATGAACCAAAAGACTAGCGTCTTTAACAAAGACAAAGCAACAGGAAACAGACCCTATATGGTATACCCGTCTCCTTCCAGAAAATGGAGCCCAAGGGTTTTCATTTAGTTTGGCCCAGCACAACCCAATTTAATTGTAATGGACTTGGATTTAGATTTGGGCAATTGGACTTGAAACGGACCAACCAACATCTCTGCGTCCCCATCATCAACCGTCATGCAGCCCAGCCTTGTCTAAAAACACTAAACTGTAACCCTGGTTGTAGGCTTTTTGCTCCTTCATGTACTTAAAATTTATTTAATTAATATTTTATAAATTTTTTTAATTTTAAAAAATATAAAAATTACTAATTATTTAAGTAATTCAATACTAATTTTTTTAATAAAATAAAAGAAGTAGTCCTAAGTATAAGTTATATAACATACAGTATGCGAGTAAAATAAATTAAAGAAATATAGTGTCTTCAAATGAAGCCGGTGGTAGTTAATAATACCTATGCATATATTTCTTATAAAAATTCACACAAAAAAAGGTTCTAATAAAAATTCATGATATTTGTCATTTTCCTTTTGGTTTAGGCATCTCCATATCATTAACTATTCATTAAGTTTATAATACATTATTAGATGGACCTTATTTTCTTTTTTTTCTTTATTATATTCTAACTAAACTCAACTTAAAAGTAAGGTAGAAAAAAATAAAAAAATAAAAAAAGGAACATTAAAGATTAAGTAATTTTGAGATTCGACTAAAGAGATATTTAACCTAATTAGCTATTTAGTATTCAGATATAGACCGCTACACGGTTCTTTATGAGACCGCTACATAATTATTTAGTTCTTTATGAAATGTGGGACTCAAGCTAGCAAAGATGGAGCTCTGTTCCTTTCGTTATCATCATTTCATAAGACAGGGTTGGCGTTTTGTCACCTGTGTCCTGGGGAGAAATATGAGTGAATACGACTGGATGTATATAGGTCTTGTCTTATGGGTGAATTATATTGTCAAAAGTCAATCATCAAGAATTTTATTTGGAAAGGGATAAGATTATACAAGATTAATCCATAATGAAAGTATACATTACGCAAGGGGGTCAATCATTGACATAATTAAGAATTAATAAGGCAGAATATTTGAGTTGGAAAAGAAGAAGAATAATATGACCATGAGGAGTTGTTTAACCAAATAAGTTAATTCAATTAGGAGTCTACCTACCTTAGAACAATTAATAAGAAAATAATTTTTTTATAAAATTTTTAATTTCAGTATAAATAATTTATTTTTAACTAATTCGATGAAGAATTAATTTTAAATTATGCATAAACTAACTCAAGAACAATAAATAACCAAGTTATTAACCCAGTTGATTATGGGTGCATCTACTAAGTGAATGATATGTGTCATCAATTCCCACAATTGTAATATGTTAAAGAAAATCAATTCAATTAATTAAACCCTATATCTTATTTTAAATAACACTAATTTAGAGTTATTATACTTATTTTATCCATGTTTTAAGATGATAATTACAATATATATTTAAATAAATGCTCTATTTTAAAGAGTAGTAGTTAGGGATACATATAAATGAACAAGGTGAAAATCATATATCATGATACTTTAAATATTAGAATTCCTTGTAAAATTATTCAAATACCCTTAATAAATCTTTTTTTGTATTAATTCATTAAGGTTGTGTTTGGGAACCTGAATTTGAATTTGATAAGTGTAATTAAAATACATGTATTTGAAATACATGTATTTAAAATACATGTATTTTAAAATACATTGTTTGGAAGGGTATTGTAGTTTCTTCTTAATTTATTGAGAAAAAAAAAAAAACTAGGTTAACTAAAATTGATTGGAAGAAGAATAAATAAATCCTTTATAACCTTTCTGCTTCTTAACCATGTCCATGAAAACTTTCTTGTTCCCCTATAATCATGCACAAGAACATATCATGTTTCTGCAAATTTCATCCATTAGAAGTGTTATAGGAAGATCAACTTATTTATGAAAGGCGAGGATTGAAGAGTACAAGAAAACCAATTCCAATCTTCTAGAAGAGATGCCATTGCAAGTATTGTGTGGTTTCCACATTAGGTTGGACCATGATTCACTAAACAAAAGGAGGGAGAAGAGTATAAGAAAACTATTTTCCTTTCGGACAAACCACATCACAATGTTGTCCGTTGATGGAATAGGCAAGAATAGAAGAGGAAAGGCCACATAACGACATTAGGGTTTGTTTGCTCAATCCAATACCATTATTATTAAGAAGAGAAATTGTGTTGTTCTTCTCCATTGAAAAATGTAGAAGTTGAAAATTTGGAATGACAACACTTTGTGGGGGCTTCTTTGACCTTATAAAGCTTCAAAGTACAAATATGAAATCTGAAAATAGGACCACAACTGCTCCCTTTCTCATTAGGGTTTAAGTTGTTTGGGGACCAAACACATTAAAAGTAAAACAGGGCAAGCCCACAAACTCACTCCAACCACTGTATCTTCCCCATGCAATCCCGTATCTATCTCTGACCCATTTTGACCTTCTTCCTCATTTAAGCACCGAACAGCCTGTCTACAGTTTCCCGAGTGCACAGTAGTAGTTGTTTGGTCCTCATTTATGGCACCCGCACCCCCCTTATCCCTTCCTTGCCATCACTCTTTTTAAGGCCTTTTAAAAACTCTGCAGTTTCCTACTTTCCAAGAACAGAGCTTTAGCATGGCTGTCTCCTCCTCCTCACCGCCCAATAGCTTCCCCCCAATACCACCTCCCCCTAATTACTTACCCTCAACGCTCCCTCTTCATGCAACACAATAATAAACATTTCTTGCTTGTTCTCTCCTCTACTCTGATCCTTTCCAGTGAGATGGCTACGATGAAGAAATGTTGCCCTGTTTTTGTTCTGCTCTTCCTCTGTTTTGCATTTGGTTCTGTTTTGTGTCAAAACCAAGATTTCTCAGCTCTTTTGGAGGTGAAGAAATCTTTTACGGAAGACCCAGAAAATGTTTTGCTTGATTGGTCTGAAAGCAACGCCAACGTCTGTGCATGGACAGGGGTGACATGTGCTTCTAACTCGGTCGTGAGTCTGAACCTTTCGGATTCCTCACTCGGTGGGTCAGTCTCTCCCTCACTCGGTCTGTTGCAAAACCTACTCCACCTTGATCTTTCTTCCAACCGCCTTACGGGTCCCATCCCAACAACCCTCTCCAACCTCACCTCATTGGAATCTTTGGTTCTATTCTCCAACCAACTCACCGGTCCAATCCCACCGGAATTGGGTTCCCTCATGAGTCTCCGAGTCATGAGAATTGGCAACAATGGACTCACTGGTACCATCCCTGCTTCATTTGGGAATCTAGTCAATTTGGTCACTCTGGGTTTGGCCTCATGCAGTCTCACTGGTCCTATACCGCCGGAACTAGGTCGACTTGCTGGAGTTGAGAACATGATTCTGCAAGATAATCAACTCGAGGGTCCTATTCCAACTGAGCTTGGGAACTGTTCCAGCCTCACTGTCTTCACTGTATCTCTCAACAATCTCAATGGATCAATCCCAGCAGAATTGGGTAGTCTCCAGAATCTTCAGACTCTCAACCTGGCTAACAATACTCTCTCTGGAGAGATACCCAGTCAACTTGGCGAATTGAGCCAACTCATATACCTCAATTTTTTGGGGAACCAGATTGAAGGCACAATTCCAAAGTCCTTAGCAAAATTGAGTAATCTTCAGACTCTGGATTTATCTGTGAACAAGCTCGCTGGTGGCATTCCTGAAGAGTTGGGCAATATGGGTCAGCTTCTATACTTAGTTTTATCCAACAATAGTCTCTCTGGCACCATACCAAGAAATCTATGCACAAACACTACCAATTTGGAGCAACTGTTTCTATCATATGTTCAACTTCTTGGTGAAATTCCAGCGGAATTAGGACGCTGTCAGTCCTTGAAACAGCTTGATTTGTCCAACAACAAGCTGAATGGATCGATACCAGTGGAGCTTTTTCAGCTGGTTGAGTTGACTGATCTCTACCTGCACAACAACAGCTTGGTGGGATCAATTTCTCCGCTCATAGCAAACCTCACCAACCTGCAGGCACTTGCCCTGTTTCATAACAACTTACAGGGCAGCCTGCCTGGAGAGATTGGAATACTGAGCAATCTTCAAATTCTGTATCTGTACGATAATCTGCTTTCTGGTGAGATCCCTTCTGAGATTGGTAACTGTTCAAACTTGGAAATGATTGATCTCTACGGTAATCATCTCACCGGAGAAATTCCTGGTACTATTGGGGGGCTAAAGAAGCTGAGTTTTCTTCATCTGAGGCAGAACAATCTTGTAGGTGAAATTCCGG